ATTTCAATAATACTTCCATCAAAAAGCGTACATAATAACAGCTTTTCCTATGAACACAAGAATCTGAACCGGACATTCTTGGTGGATCTTTTCAGTGAAGGCTGTTTTCTCTGCAAAGTTTCCGTCAGAGGCACGGTCGTGTATACCTCAGAAAAACCGGACAAGTTATCATTCCTCATCCAGGTGCCTTTTGTCTCGGTAATATGAACACAATACACGCTTCTATCGAACAATGACCGAAATATTCATTAATGGCTAACGTATCACAAGCAAATTTATTAGTAGATCAATTCAAGATGAGTCATCTCATCGACAGGTGTATTGTTCGAGTGGGAGATCATAAAATACTACTTGAGTAAGATCAATATTCGTCTAACTCAGCTCACGTACTTTGCAAAACAAATCACAAAAGTGTGACATGACTAATTCAGCCCCAGAATTCTTCTAAATATGAAGACTACTTATGGTTTCTACCTAATAATCTACCACATTTCTCCTTGGCAAAATACAGTGGGAAATGTGTTTTCCATTTATCATGGCATTCTGTGGTAATGGGCTAATCAGTGATGTATACAAGCCTCACAAACTTTACAGTAATAGGTGCACGGAGGTCGTATGACTTGTCTTATAACCCCGTTGTCGGTTAGTAAGTCTTTTATGGCTTGGCCTCCCTCACCAAGTTGGCGGTTGCACACACAAGCAAGAACGGTTTAATGATGGAACGCCAATTTCCCCTCACAATAACATACTACTATTGCACTCACAAAGATCGACGTCCATTTGTAAATCATAGATACGAAGTGCATCATGTCGCTCAGATGGCCGTACCGGCAACGAGCGAAACTGAGCCGTATAACAAACAATGTCATTCACAAAATGTCATAAATGTCATAAACGTACGCAGGATTCGGGTACCCACAGAGGAGTAGAACTATGTGAGATCGATGATGGGAATATTCCATCGAGGATAAGGCTATTTCAACTTTTGACTCAGAACCCACTCTCATCCCACCGTGTCAATTGATTTATCGGCACATCCAACTGTTGCTGTAGGTCAGTCACTCTCTGTAAGGGAATTAGAATTGGAATAGAACGCGTTGACCGTTGAGCAGCATGAAGCGAACCTCGTGAGATTCGGGAATCGCAAGAAGGGAAACACTGATTAATAACTGAACATGATGTCAGGGTTTTATGATGAACGCTTTTGTCGCATCTGCAGCTATGCAATATCAAATAACAAAAATGCGTGCATGCTTCGAAACTAACCGATAGAAAACCGGTTTACAATGGGGCAGCCAATCGTGCAGAAGCGCTACGAAAGTACAGACCGAGATAGATGAGTGGATAAGGCGTGAATTTACTGACCTGCTCTCGGCATCCCGACAGCGCCTGACAGTGGCTTATCCGCCGCGCTTACTTCGGGTGGCATAAAAGCTAAGGCACCGGAAGTTAAATTTCGCGAATGATGAGGCTTCACATAAGCACAATTAATTGTCAAAGTCGCACAGCTTAGCAACATGAAAACGTCTGGTCTTAAAGGTAGATTACAAAGAAAACTATATGAGATTCGCACATTTCAGGCCGTTATAACCAGCGGTGAGTTTATCAATTTAATTCGGTCAGGACAGTGAGAATACAAACTGCGGGATTTTAAAAAATGTTTAACTAATTACAGCTTAGAATGTGTGTATGCCAAAGCACTGAGTCAAGGCCAAGGACAGCGTCAAGAGCGAATCAGCCAGTCCGTGACAAGTGTAGCTTGACCTTGTGATTCAATAATGGCTGGAGCCGGTTTGTTGAAATCTGGCAGTTAGATGGCCAGACGACACTAAGGTATTAAATAAGTCAGTCTCTTAGCACGAACGAATAAAAGTTAGAGCAACAGCACCAGTATTGGAATAAACGTTTGAATAGCAATTTCGTGCTGCTTTCCTCAATCTGCTAAGACTGTTACTGGACTTGGACTTCCTAAGGTTGCAGTCAGTGACTTGTGTTTGCTTGCGTACTTATGGCAATTTTATGCGTGGCACATGGCGTTGAATGTATATTTTTGCCATTTAGTCTCACACTAGACCCATTATGACGGACACTTCGTGCCTGATGTGGGAGTCTTGACTGTACTAGCGCCTACCGCGCCTTGAAGAGCACTCAACATCGTTTGTCCTCTCTTCGGTTGTTGGTTTTTAGACGCATGTTGTCATATCAAAACTTTTACATACCTTGTGATTCATCTAATCAGACTGGAACTGTTCTTGGCATGACTTTGAATGAGACGTTTCTCTCTTTTCTCCCCTATTATCCAGTTACGCTTTCGCGTTCATCGCTTGCATTCACTTTTTACGTTTGTGACCATACTCTTCAAAAATAAATGATAATTGAAGTTTATCTGTGCTGGAAAGTCAAGAAGCAGTCCGTACCTCACGAAACTCCGAGTTTTGAACCTGCGACTTTCAGGCCACTTGTTGAAAACCAAGAGCTGTTCGTCATTAGTGAGATTACCTGTTATTGAATAAACTTTTGCTTTCGTTAGTTACCTTTTAAGGCTAGTGACCTATTAGTGAGATAACAACTGATCAGAATTGTTGAAAACGTACAGATATTTAGCGGTGAATGTATGGTTGAACGGCACGATAGAGAGCAACATTCATCGATCGTTTAACCACTCGGAGTTCTATCCATTTCTTCACCAGGTTGAGATCGTTTTGCTAGGAACAACTCCATTAAACAACCCTCACAAATTATTCCGCATTCATAACTTCTCACTTATTATTTCGATGTCTAATAACTGCTTCGCAGTTGAAACAGGTGAAACATCGCCAGCAATGTTATTGACATTCTAATTTCCCACGTGTTGTTCCGTGCGCGCTTATTCTGAATGTGGAGTTAACTACCCTTCGGTTTGGTGAATGGTCAGTTTGTAGTGTTTATTCTCTGTAGTAATTTAAACTGGTTCCGCGGTAAAGTCCAGCTGATCGATCAATGATTTTTGCTGCAGTTTCTGCAGTTTCCACCACAATTATGACAGCATGTCTTTGTGGAATATTCTTTCTACATTTTAGTCTTTCTATCTTATCGCAAGTTAGTTGACTCTTTCAGAAGCACTGTCTGAAAGGCAAGTTTCCTCTATAAAGGTTGTTTTTAGTGAAAGCCGTGAACAAGACTTGATAGTAGATGTGAAACGTAATCCTTTATTAAATACACCAGCGTTCATGGAGGACTCACGGAAGGTTGCTCTGGTGACTTCAGTTACGACTGTCGTCTTTGTCAGAGGAAACCAATTCTGCTCACTTGACAATTATGCATAATACAAACTACGTGCTTTACAGTGGTACAGTGAATCATTGGAGCTTTCGGATTAACTTTGTAACTCCCTTCGTTTTGGAACCGCAAATCATGACCACACTACGAGACGACAAAAATTATTTGCGTAGAAAAGGATAGGATGAATCCGTTTGACATACCACTAGTTTACAGAAATACGTCAGAGCACCTTAAATTTGCTCCTGCTTTAAAATTTTCATTTACTTGAGAATCTTATCACCAAAACATTGGTATTTTCAGTATACTTTTGTGCGGGTTCTCAGCATATGAAAAATTTACCCTCGTGAGCACTTTGATTACGATACTACTTGATAGGTCAACATTGTGAGATGTCGATAAGCATCAAGAAGTGCATTGCACAACCAAATAGCCTGAAATTCCATCCTAAATGCGCCTAAATACACATATTTGCAACGTGCAAGCTGGTACCTAACAACCTGCTTTTTGCTTTCATTCCACAAAGCTTTGGGCCAAATTCCATTCCTTATTTGATCAGCGATATCGTTCGTGCCTGATGTCATCACGATACATCTATTGCATTTTGATTGTAGCCCTAATAACCGCACGAGTTGGGAAGGAACTTTCGGATACCCGAAACGGATTCCATTGACACTGGCTAAGAATGTACCAATCCTGTCCAAGCAAATATCGTATTTGGTAATTGGGACAAAGACAACGAATGATACCGCAAAGCCTCCAAGTTGCGTTTCAAAATACGTATAAAAATATGCTAGGTTGTTTTAGGTATGGGAAAACTAGTCTCCCATTAAAAAACAGGTGATCATAATTGCCTTTCCTACAAGGCCAGACCTCCGAATGTGCAGTTCTAGTTGTAATTCATCTAGCTATGGATATTTATTTTGACCGCAAAACTCGCCAAAATTAGAGTATATCAAACCTAAAGGCAAATCATACTTATCTTTTCTAGAGGATGCTCTCTTCCGGGAGGGGCGCAGTCACTGGAAGAACGGTCGTCATCCCTTTGTATGACTAATTATAAATGCCATCCTAAAAATTCAATTCCTTTGAAGGAGAGTCTAAGATCAGACCAGAGTGAACTATTCTTGGAGCAGTGGTAAGAAACAGCTGTAAGTGTTCCTATCCAGAGGAGAGCACATTTTGTTAACCCTTGAGACGATCTCATTAGGGGATAAATGGTCCTCCATTGTAGCGAAAATGTCTCTTCTGAAGTGTGGTTTCCAATGAGTGATTTCTCCAGGAAACGGTAGGTGCATCATCAAGAGTTGGTTAGTTGTAACATCTTGGGGTTTAGCGGAATGTCTATGTAGAAAGGAGATAATAGCAACTAATGGATGATTGTGTGTTGATGTGAGGATGTTAAGAGAGCGACTATTATGGCAAGTTACTTGAATCCTTCAATAACATGTCTCTCCTGGGATAGTTCGCGTTGGGTCGGTCCTTCCACGGGTCTCTCCAGAGAACGATTACAAGAGCGCGACATACAAGAAAATCGTGGCTGAAATCCTGGGTCACTCTGCGAACCAACCCTGCTGCTACGCTGAACTACAAAAAGCCTTAGCGTACCTGGTCTTTACCCAGGACCCATATGAGAAAAAGCAGCGTCTCCTGGCGAACGTTTCAACCTGATTCGACGTAATTACACCTTAAACCAAATCTCACGCGGCAGTATTGAAATAGGTCTCAGCTTTGGATGATCGCTATTTGGAGAAGGAACTCCCGAATTTAGTGAAATTGCGGCTGAGGCGAATCCAGGAAAAAGGTACGGGTTGAAGATTAGCCAAACTTGCCTTGCTTTCCGATAACTTTCCTTGTCCCATGGGCATGCGAGTGTCACGTAGTGAAATATTGAAAATATGTCTCATACGCCACAGAAGTTCCCCAGCGTTTTCCACTCGGATCGCTTCCAATTCTGCAATCGACTTATCCATGGCTGAGTGATATTTCCCACTGGCAAAGAATACAAGTTCGATCAAGCCATTCACCAGCACACAGCAGTTTGTATTCTGCCGGATACGTTCGTGCATTTTTCTAAACGTTGCTATCATACCAAGATGCTGGTACGTGGTGAACTTGTTCTGAGGTCAAATCCGTAGGGGACGTTCAAAATGAGAATGAGTAATTGTTGTGACTGGGGACAGATTCAGTTCATTTCATAACTAAGTAGGCAAAAGAGTACTCCTTAGCACGCGGTCGATATTCACGTGCTAGTTGTTCGCAAACTCCACTTGTTTGGCCTAAGGGGTCTTATATATCTTAGACATATATATATATATATATA